AACGGATGTAAATTAAGCATTTATTAAAATCAATTTAAAAATTGAGTATCTTTTTAAGAAAAGACACCAGCAATTGAACGCGCAACCTTGAGCACGCGCTTTTCCACCCAGTTTAGCAACCTGGACGGCTAGGCGCATGCGCCAAGCATTCCTTTTTCCGACGGGGATTGCAACGTTCTTGCGGCAGGGGGCGCTTATATTTCCCGCGCGCTTCCATTGGTTGTCCGCTGTGGAAGACCCACCTTTTTCTAGAAAGAAGAACACGGCGCTTCCTTCGCTCCACCCCTTCCCTAGGCCGGCCGCTTTGCGGTTGCTATAGCAACCACTCAAAGAATGGGCCACTATCATTGCTCCCGCTGTTGGTTTTCTTCTCCCTCCCTTCGGTTTTTCCACCTAGTTCTGTCTCAGTTTTGTCTCTCCTACTCCGCAACCCTTACTCCTTGGCCTAGAGGCAGAGATTAAACAACAAAAAATATGAAGTGCAAGACTAGACTTCCGGCCTGAACAATTTTCCTCTGTGGAGGCAAAGAACAGCGTCGCTCTATCTTTGACATCTCTATGGAAAGGGGGCATCGAGGCAACAAGGGACAGAGCGGCAACACTTTTGCCTGCACTGTAGGCATAGTGCGCTATCTATTGCATTGAAGAGAGTGGGATTTTTTGAAAGTAAAAATGTTCAGGGAGGACTTCCTCTGTCCAAAATCTGAAGTGCTGCTTTGAAATAGGAGAGCTGTAAATCAGCCATTACAAATAAGAAGAGAATAAGGCTCATTCACTACTTTTGAATAAGCCTGCTTAGTAATGTGCCTAAATAAACTACACGGGCCTGTCCTGAAACAGGGTCAATCTTGATATATTTTGACTGTGAAATCTCAGTAAATTTTAGTAGGGCTTACATTAATAAATGTTCAAAGAAAGGCAGAATTCTATAGATTTCTACTTCGAATCCGGCCCCATTGTCTGCGAAATGGAAGGGTACGTAGAACTACAGCTCGCAATGATACGCTCCTTTGTTTGGGAATAACCCCCTTTAAAGTCATTGAAACAAGTAGATACATAAAGGAGTCGCCTGTAATGGAGAATTTGTCATACTAACTGCATGCAATTCATGTGTAATTAGTGACTAGGCCAACTGTGCTAGTGTTTACATTTGCAACAAAACATTTAGCTGAAGTCTAGATCCAGCTGAACAATCTTCGTTTTTATCTGATAAATACGTAGGTGGAACTATATAATTATATGCCTATATTGTGTGTCTAATCCCATAATTGATCATGTGCCATCAAATTGTTCACGCTTCGTGATCACATAGACAGACCTGCTCCTGGATCTGCTTCTAACCTGGCCTTTCAAGTCTTCCCACAATGCATCCATTCCTGCTATAAACTTTGCTGCTGGTTGTCTTCTTTCTGTTTTCCCAGGATTATAAACTTTTAGATCGACTAAGCCGTAATTGGCTGAGTTCTCAAAACAGACTATGCCAGCAAGCCACATTTTCGCTTAGTGTGACGGATGAACTGAGGTTACACATAGTATAATGTGGTTCAACCGTCACACTATGATGTGAGATTCCTTTTTCTTTTGGCTAAGTATTTTATGCAGAGTTCCAGCCATTGACTGTTGTAAACCCCCACTGGCAACCCAGAGTCTTTTGGAGAGGACAGCCATAATAAATTTAATAATAATGTAATGGATTTCTTCCATAAACCAGGATTAAACTCAGCCTATCTTAGCCTGCTGTATAAAGAGCATCTTTACATCACTTGCATATATTTTAAGTAATTATTGCAAGCTGCCCAGAGTTATTGAGAGTCAGGGGGCATATAAATGTTGTTGTTGTTGTTATTATACAAATCAAGGTGAAATGACAGCTGCCAGTTCTTTAGCTGGTGTTGGCCTTAATTCGCATCGAGTTCTTCTGAACAACCTAGGATGTCGTAATGTATCAGCGTAGTCTATGTGCGGATCCAAGCAGCGTGGCCTTTTGTAACTGACAGATGGAAATTTTGTCAATGTTCAGATTTTCTAAGTGCCCTCCAAGGTTTTTTGGAATGGCACCCAGTGTGCCGATAACCGCTGGGACCACCGCTGCCGGTTTATGCCATAATCTGTCAACCGTGACTTTCAGATCTTGATACTTTGTGATCTTCTCCAATTCTTTGTCTTCTGTTCTAGTATCCACTTATAGTGCATTATATCCAATTATCCTCACCCTCTTCTTTTCAACCAGTTATTATTATTGTTGTTGATATTGTTCTTATTATTATTCTATACAACATTTAAAGCTGTCTCCTCTGACAATTCAACAATGCCCAAGCAGCTGAACTACACATTATTCAGCCCCGGAAAGACCAACACAGGGCTCCAACCATTCAGCGGTCTGCAATATTGATCAATACTGATGAACTCAGGATGAGTGTAACGAATTATGGCTTCCATAATAAAGGTTTACTGCAGGGTTCCTCAACCTCAGCAACTTTAAGATGG